ATTGATGATTAGTCGAGATATGAGACGACTCCAAAATCCACTGGGTATGTACGCCATCTTGTAACGCCTTCTGACACAATTATTCTTAGCAGTGACAACCTGAGAGAGAGAGAGAGAGAGAGAGAGAGAGAGAGAGAGAAAGGGTATTGTAGTTATAAAATGTAATACAAAATGGAGAATTCTCTTCTATTCATTTTTGACAAAATATTATGCTATACTATACTATAGTACAGGGTCTTTGGCCAGAGTTTGGAGCAACTTTAAAAATTCGTAAATAATCTAAATTTGATCAAAATTAGCTCAAACTTTCTACACAACATAAAAACTTATAAATGTATATGCAATAGAAAAAATTATAAAAATGAAAAAATTCTCTCCTACCCAATTTTGGTGATTTTTGGCCAAAGTCCCTGTACTACAGTGCAGGGACTTTGGCCCGATTTCGGAGCAACTTTAAAAATTCATAAAGAATCCAAACTTGATTGGAATCAGCTCAAACTTTCTATGCAACATAAAAACTTGTATGTCTTAGAAAAAATTATAAAACTGAAGAATTCTCTCCTACCCAATTTTGGTGATTTTTGGCCAAAGTCCCTGTACTACAGTGCAGGGACTTTGGCCCGATTTCGGAACAACTTTAAAAATTCATAAAAAATCCAAACTTGATCAGAATCAGCTCAAACTTTCTATGCAATATAAAAACTTGTATACGTCTTAGAAAAAATTATAAAACTGAAGAATTCTCTCCTACCCAATTTTGGTGATTTTTGGCCAAAGTCCCTGTACTACAGTGCAGGGACTTTGGCCCGATTTCGGAACAACTTTAAAAATTCATAAAAAATCCAAACTTGATCAGAATCAGCTCAAACTTTCTATGCAATATAAAAACTTGTATACGTCTTAGAAAAAATTATAAAACTGAAGAATTCTCTCCTACCCAATTTTGGTGATTTTTGGCCAAAGTCCCTGTACTATAGTACAGGGACTTTGGCCCGATTTCGGAGCAACTTTAAAAATTCATAAAAAATCCAAACTTGATCGGAATCAGCTCAAACTTTCTACACAACATAAGAACTTGTATATGCAATAGAAAAAATTATTAAAATGAGGAATTCTCTCCTACTCAATTTTGGTGATTTTTGGCCAAAGGGACTATAGTATACTTATACATGTACTTATAATGCATGAGATAACATATTAAAGTCTCTCCTAGTCATTTATGACAAAACACCCTGTACAGAATTGCAGTATTCCAGTTGTCAGGTTTCAACTCACCACTTTCCCATCAATGACTCTAGTGATTGACACATTGTCCTCTTCTTCCCCTCCCTCCATTTCAGAGGAGCTAGGCGTGGACCCTAATGCAAGATTACTCCTAGAAACACTCCGAGGCTCATGAGGAGGACTCTTCACTCTTGAAGGTAGTGGCATTGCAAACGGTAGAGCAGGTCTTTGCTCTGGAAGCATAGACGGAACAAGTAGAGTACCTTGACCGAGGGATAGAGCTATCTCGAATCTCTCCAGCAGCTGCATGTACTGTTGGAGGTACTGCTCTGGATAGTCCCGGTGACCGTGGAATATGATTCTAAGGCGAGCCTCTACTAGTATCCCATTTTGGACAAACGAGTGTTTCTGGGGGACCGTAATGATGTGCGCTAGCATGTCTGCTAGCCAGACCGGGTCAATGAAGTAGAGGTTGTTAAGACCTTTTAGGTGATCGTTGTAATGAAGCATGACACCATTGTCGTGTAGGAACTGAGCAGCTAATAGAGGAAGAGAGAGAGAGAGAGGAGGGAGACAGACAGACAGACAGAGAGATTAAAGAGAGAGAAATTTTAAAAAGTTATATGTACATGCACAACTTAATAGATATTGATATAAAGTGCTGCATTAATAATGCAATTCAATATATAAAATCCAATTTAATATAAGATACAAGTACATGTAGATGTTTTATCATTATTACTATTATCATTATTGATCTAACCTAGTGTCAGTTCTTCTGGGTCAGAAATGTCTTCAGTCTTTTCAGCTAAAGCAGAGAATTCCTTCTGATTGAGTACCGGAGGCTGCCCCACCTCTTTGAGTCTCTTGGCCTCATCTTCAACAATATTCTGCAAAACACAATAACTTCGAGGAACCTAAAAAAGAAATAAAAAATAAAATTTCAAAAGCTTAGAATACATGTAGTATGTACAGTACCTGCATTCCAATGACATGTTCATGTGTGTCAGGATCCTTAGCATTGAGAGCAGCTGCATGGATCCTGTCCTGTAGATCTCTTATACCTTCCTTAGTAACACAGGACACCATGCAAATACTGTGAGGGAAGGAAAGAGAGTGACATAAAGGAATAAAGAACAAGTGAAGACATAAATAGATAAGAAATAAAGTAACAATAGTAGAGATGAATATCTTCAAATAAAAGCCTGTCTAAATTAGAAGCCTGGGGCTATACATGTACATGCATCAAGGAGATAAGATACAGAGTATAGGAGGACCATTTAATAGGGCTTGCGTACAAATTAAAGATAGGAATTACAGAAGACGTTTATTTCTAGTATACATGTATACACTATACAGGAATATCAATGTATGTGTATATTTGTTGGCATACTCTGATATGGTTGGGTATCCTTGAGCATCATAGTTCTTGAGGATGCGAGAGCGGTACATGTGACGGAGTTCAGCTACTTGATTAGGAGGGATCTTATCCAAATGAGTACCAACAACAATAATGGGGGAATAGGGAGCACGAGCCTGAGGTAGAGGAGAGAGAGAGAGAGATTATAACCTGAAGTTAAACTAGCATATACAATACATGTATGCAATGGAATAAATGTTTTTTTGCTTGTCACAGATTTTGTGACAATGGAACTAATGGGTTTTTGTTTGTTGTGAGTTTCGTGACAATGGGGTTCTTTGCTTGTCATGAAATTTGACCAAATCCCTGTAATAAGTTATTTAAAAATTTTTCAAAATAAAGATCAAGTAGGATTCACTCTGGTATTAATTAAAATTCGTCAAAAAAATTAATGGAAACAAGGACAAGTAGGATTCCGAGCGATAGGCAGGCTGCAAAATTCATAGCAGCCATTTTATTTTTGTGGTAAATCCTACTTAGTAACATTAATTCATTACTAATATTCCAATTATTACCTGAACGTTGAGGAGCCACGGACGAAGATAATCTATCCCTTGTTCTCCCTCAGTCATGTTCCACACGACAAGATAGAGAGTGTTACGAGAGAGGAAGCACTGGTGGGTGGCATAATAGACCTCCTGACCAGCAAGATCCCACATACTGAATGTAACGTCCATTTGTTGCTATAGAGGGAGAAGAAAGAAAACCTTATGCTATGAAGAGGATTTGTGATATTAAATTTCTAGTTATACACATAAAATGTATAAGCATTCAAGACTCCATGAGGCATTACATGTACATGTATATACATTTAATAATCTGATGATTTTTGACTAAATACATGCAGAAATTTTGACTTAATTTTTGATGAAAACTTTCTGAGCTAATTCCTAAATACATGTACATGTACCCTAATTAAACCTGAGTATGTACTTACTCTTTGTGAGAGGTTTCTTCCCTTGGGAGCTCTGACAGTCCATTTGTGTACAGAGACACCAACAGTCGATACATTAGGAGGTAACTGGTTATTGGGATCTCGTAATACTGAGAGTAACGTGGTCTTACCGCGACCCTGAGATAATGGGGAAAAAAGAATAAAATGTAATTTAAAAGAAATGAGGGTACACGTACATGTATATACACATCTAATAAAGAAATAACAAGTACAATTGTACATGTACATGTATGTATAAATTAAGTTAGATGATGTACTTTTAATTGGCATAATATTTTGTACTTTAATGTAATTCATTACAATGTACACATTTACATTTACATGTACACGTACACGTACACGTACATGTACATGTACGTGTACGTGTATGTACATACATGTACATGTACATGTATTTTTTATTCCTAAATACAACAATACCATAATGATACATTACATGTACATCACATGTATATCACATGTATATCACATGTATATCACATGTACATGTATATCACATGTATTACATGTATTTACCTGTAGACCGACGGCCATTAGTTTCATTCTGGTATAAGGTTCTGCTTTCTTCATTTGAGCCTTGAGGTAAGCTATCAATTGTTTGGTTGATGCTCCCCTACCAACACCTACAGAATGCAACATCAGGATACTCTTGTGCACGTCAGTAATCTCAGTTTATAAAGTATTCCGGATATGTTTACATTTTAGCTACGGGTATTTTGGTATCTAGGAATTTTTAATCAGTGCAGGTATCATTTGCAGGCTTCTGCTTATCTAGGTAATTTTTTGTATATTTTAGTCATTTCTCCTTTTATACTCCAGTAATCTCTCTGTATATTGTTGTACATTTCAGTAATTTTACCTGGTATGAGGTGCTTGGGGACGTTGGTGATATCCAGTCCATGCATGATGAGTTCCCAGCAGTTCTTAAGACGGCCAAACGTCAATGGGAGACAATGTACTGAAGTATTGCTTTAAAAAATAACAATAACTATATTGTAATTATTATTGTTGTTATTTTTATTATTTTTATTATTACTCATTAATTGTTATAATAATAATAATAATAATAATAATTGTTTTATTGTTTAGTTTTAATTTTTTTTTTCATTATATACATGTAAAATAATTTCAAATTAAGTTACAAAAATTCAAAAAGTACCTACTACTTCATGAGTACATGTACACATAAATGTACACAATAATGCCACCAATAACAACTTACTGGCTCATATCAAGGCGAGCTATTGATGTAAAGTTCCCGAGGTAATTGGGTAAGAACTGAATGTTGTTATTTTGAAGGTAGAGGGTCTGTAGAGTGTTGGACCAGGCCTCGAATGGGAGCTCACGTGGGTTAGCATCAGGAGCATTGGTTAGGAGAGGAGAGACTGAGGGAGACTTTGCTGGCTTTTTCTTTTTAACGCTAAACATACTAAATAACAAAGAAATAATAATAATAATAATAATAATGCTATTTAGAAATTCAGAAAAAATCTAAATTTGATCGGAATCAGCTCAAACTTTCTACACAACATAAAAACATGTACGATATGTATTAATAAATTATAAAATAAACAATATTATCCTTGCAATTTTTTATAAAATTTAGTCAAAAGTCCCTGTACTATAGTAGAGGGTATTTGGCCAGATTTTGGAGCAACTTGTTAAAATTTGTAAAAAAAAATCCAATTTTGATTAGAATCAGCTCAAACTTGCTACACAACATAAAAGCTTACAAGCATGTACATGTACATAACGTATATGCATTGGTATCATCATACGGTACTCATGATATTCATAAGAAAAATAAGTGTGTACATCACATACGTTGATAAGGTTGTAGACCCTCTACTCCTTCTCTCCCCGTCCTTCTCCTTATTCACGGCATGTGAGCCAGACCTAGAATACGTCTGCTCCTCTTCCAGTGAGTGAGTGAGAGTCGTGAGATTATTATGAGCTAAACTGAGTTTATTCATGCGACAGTTGGCCCAGGACATGGTGAGAGGGAGATACTGGATGTGATTGTGGGAGAGATCGAGTGTCATGAGATGAGCGAGTTCGGTTATGTTCCTCGAGATCTCTTCAAATTGATTGTGTGACAAGTAAAGTCGCTCTAGGCAGTGCATCCAGTAACTAGCTGAGCCGTAGGGAAGCTCCTTTAGGCTATTGTGAGCAGCATCAAGATGAACCTGTAATAATAATAATAATAATAATAATAATAATAAAATAAATAATAATAACAAAATAAATTATTATAACAATATTATTGATGTTACTCTTTGATGTCAATGTTGATCAAAACTCATCAATAGCTCAATAGTCTAACATAGTGGCAACACATGTAATGTAGTTTATCTATTACATGTACATGTATAGTTTATAACTACATGTTTTTTACATGTGAAGAATGGCATACATACACTGGGCACCTTTGCTGCCAAAAAGTTAAGAGTTTCTAGATAATTGCCCAACCACAAACCACCAAGACTCTAAGTTGGGTTTAAAACTATACATGCATGTACATCTGAAGGTACATGTACATGTACATGTATATACCGGGGGGAGTACATGTACATGTACATGTGCTTACAAGATTGATGCAGCCCAGACCCATTGATGGGGGCAGCGAGTGAAGGTGGTTGTATGAAACTGTGAATGTGTTGAGTCGTCTGAGGCTCTTGAAAGTATCAGGAAGTGTCCTGAGTCTGTTGTGAGACAAATCAATCTTCTTGAGGAGGTCACATCTCCAAGTGAGATTAGGACAGGCATCTTCTGGATCACCTAAATTAAAATTACATAATAATAATAATAACAGATTGTATATAAGTTTGATTATAAAAATAAATTAAAATTACATGTAAAAGAGGTACATCTGTACATGTATAACAATAATAATAACATATTGTACAAAGCTCAATTATAAATTAATTATAAATGTCTTAGTAATTATAATTATACAATTCATTTGTTACCAGGTAGTCTTTGAAGCAAGTTGTATGAAAGGTTGAGAGATGTCAAGTTTGGGAGCAAGAACACGCCACTAGGAGCATAAGAAATCTGATTCCTACTAGCATCAAGCTCTGTTAGACTGTAAAAAGAGAGAGAGGGAGAGAGAGAAAGGGAGAAAGAAGGGTAATTTGAGATGAGAGAAGATTGTGTATGTGTACATGTACATGTACATGTATGTACAATAGAACAAATGAACCAATTTGTTAAGAATTGACATTAACATCCACTCAACTTCAATATAAATGTAAATGTACATACACTGTACATGTACTTCAAATATATCATTGGTTACTCTAACATACAATGTATGTGTACCCTATAATTACACACACACACACACACACCTCCCTTTCCTCTCTTACTTCAAACAGTTCCAAGGTACAACATCTTGTGATAGCTCTGGCAATATATTCTGACTAACATCAAGAGTCTTAAGATTAGGCATTTGGAAGATCTCCTCGGGCAGCGTAGAAAGCCTGTTTGCCCTCAGTTCCAGTTTCGTGAGTCGAGTATTAAAAGAGGACAGGAAACTCCATGGCAGCTCGGCTAGACCCAGTTCCCTCCATCGGGCGGAGACGAGTGGCTCGCCTGCGGAGTTCTTCTGATGTGAACTGGGTTTGACTCTCTTTGCAAGCAAGTCTTTAATGAAGTCAGAGAAACGTGATATTATCAGTTGAGTTATGATGGCTCCTTGCTGCAGGAGGTAGTCGGCTACTTCAAGTCTCCTGCTCGATGCTGCTACGTATAATAAACTATCTTTACCGTCAACTTTAGCAGCATCTTCTTGATTTATCGTCCAGTTCACATCGAAATCAGTTTCAGTCATGAGATACTTGAATATCTCCAAGTGACCCTGAAAATAAATATGATTAAGTAATTGCAGCTTTTTTCATTATTGCCAATAATAAAAGTAATATTAAAATGACATTATTATCAATGTAGTATCATCATTATTACTACTCTACTATAGGCAAGGGAGATATGTTGCATGAACTTTGCATTATTCAAAGACTGAAACTAGTCAAGGGTCTGTACTGAGTGATAATATGATGCCCAATATTTGTATTTATAACCTACTAGTACTAGCTTTAATCAAAATACGTGTACATGCAACACTAAGCATACATGTACTTTTATAATTATTACAAGTATACCATTGTCATGGATTATCAAGTATGAAGAGTGTTCATGCATTAAAAGAAATTCAATTCATTTCACAGTTAGCGTAATAAGCACCTGATGTGTACATAGACACTGCATGTGAAAAGAGAGAGAGGTCAATTGGATATTGCACATGCTGAAAGTATAAAGAGACTGTGAAAACTGATAGCCATATAATGAGTACTATGAATGACATTAGCAGTCAATGTCATAACATGTTTTCAGTGACATGTACATGTACATGTACATGCATGTAGGCTTTCTTGTCAATTAAAGGAAGATGGCATAAAGCATAAATTGACTGGTAGTCTGACTTTTTGGTCAAATTTTATTCCTGCATTGAAGACGTGTATGTATCTTAAGGCAAAGAAATCCTTTGTGGCAAAAAGTAGCTTATTCCTGGGAAATATTAACAAAGAACATACAAGAGATAGAGTAGCCTAAGACTACAGTATACTCAATACTATAACATGCATCATTATACACTCTTGCCAATAATACATCATCAGAAACTATAATATATAATGTACATGTATAATGTCACATCATGGCCTGCTCATCCTCTCATTTTGTAAAGCAAGACTATATGCAGCATAATGTGTAACACACATTCTTCATAGGAGAGCCTATTAAATATTAGTCTTTCCGTTGTCACAGTGTACTGATAAGAGATTGACAAATAAGTGCATCAGTTATTAGAGGATTGGCACTGACAGTTGTTGTAATGAATAACAAGTTGATCAACAGAGAATGAGGTCAGTACTAAAAATAGCATCCCCTTAAGGCTAAAATATTATGACACATGTGATGCATGCATTATTATAAATAGAACAAACATCTCAGTATATATATCATACATGTAATAATTATTATTGAGTTAGGTGAGAATGTCTAATTCTCCAAAGTTTGGCATTTGCGCGTGACAATTAGAATCATTACATATCAATAGCAGAGGAAGTAATATTTTATCTGAAGACAGGCAAGAGTGACAATAGCAGCCACATGACATAGACTGGAGGCAACACAGTAGGGGTGACAGCAAGGTAATTAGGTGATATACATGTACATGTTCATGCATTTGAATTCCTAGTTTATATCATGGATGTATAAAAATGTGAATTTAAAATTGTTCCAAATCACACACAATGACCTCTAAAATCAACATTATTTATTTGAGGCTAATACTGCAAAAATATAACAAATGCTCATCATTGTACTTGTATAAATGTTGGAAGCCTTTTAAAACTGCATGTACTTAAATGAACATGTAGTTAATTACTAGAGGCACATGACATACACATGCAAAACTGAGTAACGATATTAATCAACATACACTTGAATGAATTGACACTAGAAACAACTACATATAATTATAATAAGCACATTATCCATACAGTGTAGGTACATGTACATGCATACTGCTACTGTGTCTAATTTCATAGGCACATTACAACTATGAAATACATTGAGAAGTACATGTAGGTGGATATAAAAATAAGAGTAGATCAAACTGTTATAATGATTACCTGCATACAAGCAGTGAATACAAGTGGTGGGTTCTTAATACACCTCAGATCAGCTCCGGCATTGACCAGGTACCTCAGTATCTTCATCCGTCCTTCAACACAGGAAGCAAATACAGGACTGAACCCACCAACCACTCGCCTGTACTCCGCCCCACGGTCCACCAATAGCTTAACCACTTCAAGACTATCGGCCATGACGGCTGCATACATAGGAGTACCGAGATCACACTTTGAATTCGGGTTAACGTTGCAGTTTAAAAGCTCCTTCACGACGCGATAGTGTCCTTTTAGACAAGCATTGTATATGGTCTTCTCTACGACCGCTTTGGGCGGGTCACGTCTGTTGGTCATGTCAAGGAGACTCATGGCATATGGATGGGTATCGAGTAGTCGAGTTAGGTCAGTGTGGCTACCTTCCGAGCATGCCTTGTATAGAGAACGAGCCACTTCTGTGATAGTAGTAATAATAATAATTGTTAATAATAATAATGCATGATAAGGATAAGAAAAATTTAGAAAATAATTATTATTGCTAGTAATCATTTCTATGCAGTAGTGATAGTTTAATCTGATAATGAGTGCCAACTAAAAGACATGATAGTAAGTCATGACTTAATAATAATAATAATATAAATCTCAAAATAAAGTGATAGTAAACAAGTGATCTAGCTGTAGTACGCAATCATCGTCTTGTTGCATGAATTTGAGCATGTAACACATGCAAAGTACAAAATAATTATAATTTAGGCATATATTACATGTCATTAAAGCTACTGACAACTGCAACAAAAAAAACACAAAAATTGTGACTCATACACATGTAGATAATGTGAATTAGCTTACCATCATTGCTCAGAGTGGCCATGATTAGCCCCTAGTGAATGACTCAATTAAAGGTGACTTTCCCTCTAAATGAAGAAAAACAAACTCAGGACTCGTAATGATAACAGGAAAGATGAAATAAGTGAAAACGAACTAGACTAGTTTATACAAGTAACAGGAGAACTGTTATTATTAGAACATGAATAGCATCATTTTAACAACAATAAATAGCACTGCTATGATAAACACATAATTAGGGGGAGGGGCATTGTGTGAATATTTTGGGAAAGCTGAAATTTTCTCAGAAGTGAGATTAAAATTACTATCAAACATTACTGCTACAATACTGCACTATTAGTCCATGAACTTTCTTCTAAAAAATACTACTTATCTAAACAAAGTTCTAGTGAGACTAATACTATTCTGCTGAAGCTTTTCAAGCAATAATGCCATTCCTAGCCTATTAACACCATACATAATATCAGTATATGCAACAAAAAACGTAGTACTACTAAAATCCATATATAAAACTGTATGCCAATTTTTGCTTTCCTCTAAAACAAAGCTACCTAATTACATGTACTTACATACACACACACACACACACACACACACACACACACACACTAGTCACCAGTGTGTATAAATATGTTCCTGCATATCCACAAACAAAGACAACTGCTAATGTAGAGACAAATCACGTACATGCATATATCCCATACAAATGTGTACTGGCTAGAATTGAATGACACCACATGCATGTATCCTATTTATGTACATGTGCTAATAATAAAAATATATTATAGAAAGTATACAGTATACACTGTATATGTGTGTGTGTGACTGAATTAAATACTAACAGATAAATGGAGCATACATGTACATGTATAGTATGCAGTATTTATGTACATGTACATGCATAATTGTACATGCCCTGCTATTACTGTACATGCACATGTCCTGCTAGTCACTACACATGCATAGTGCCTTATAGTCATTGTTGGTTCTTTTGTGGACAATCATAAAACAAATCAAAGCAAGCTCCTACAATACATTCTTAATTATCATTTGCCTCATTTATTATAATAGTAATTCATCGCTAGTCCATTGATTTGTGTTTGGTATACAGATCATAAACAAGAATGATTAAGGGGAGAGAGAGAGAGAGGAGGGGATTTACCAAGTATGAATGATGATATTTCATGCAAAGTACCAATCAGTACTAAAGATATAAACAGATGTATATGTACATGTATATACATGCATAAACTGAAAGTGAAAATGAGAAGGGGGAGGGAGGGAGAGTCTAAGGTAATCATTATAATTATTTTATTAGAGAGAAGGAACAAAAGGAACGGCTTTTATGTAATCCAATAGAGAAGGAGTGAGCTAAAAAGCAAGCATGTACAAATACAAAAGTACACATTATGTCAGACTTGTTAGAATTGGAAAAAACTTGTAAAGCATTAAACTTACGTTACAAAACCTGGCAGCAATTCTTGCTAAGATGAGGTACTTTTGCTCCAGAGAGAGAGGGAGAGGGAGAGAGTAAGCTTATCTAAAGAGGTGAGCCGTCGCACTTCCACTTTGTGCTAAGGGTCTACCCAGAACACGAGGGGAGGAGGAGAAGGAGGAGCTCCATTAACTATTGCTAGGAGGAGCTCCAGATTAATTAATTAATTAGTAGGTGGGGCCTGTGCATAGGCGTGGCCCTGTTGATCACGTGATCTGTGTAAACTCTCAAGTCTCAAATCTCAAACTGTCAAGCTAAAACTAAAAGCCCTTCTGTCTTGTTGCTCTAGATTCTAGTCTGTAGCTCTATACTCTAAGTGAGTAGAGAGAGGACATGAAGTTCCTTTCATGTATAACAACGTATTTAAGAGTTTCTCCCTCTTTCTCTCTCTCTCTCTTAGTTTGAATCATGTCAAAAAGAGCTCCTCCTCCTAAACCAGTCCCCAGACCTAAGCCTGGTATGTTCTCTCTCATAATATGTAGCGACGTGACATGTACATGTAAATGTGTTTACACAGTACTGAGAATAAATTACATGTGTATACATGCATGTATTGACGTATTGATAAGTAATGTATCGACACGATTATCAGTATAAAAATTAATTTATGTGAAGTTCAACTTGTGTTATGTAGTCCCTCATTATTATCTATTTATTTATTTATTATTATTTTGAGTTTTGGCTCTTTAATATTTACTATAATACATGCATGATTGGATTTGATAATTGGATTATGTGGTGTAATAATTTCCCTTATTTGGATGCATGTTGCTAACCTTGTCCATTTAAATTATGTTTATTTTGTTTCCTCTCTCTCTCTCTCTCTCTCTCTCTCTCTCTTTCTCTCTTTCTCCTTCCCCTCTCTCTCCCTTTATCAATTATATTCTTTGTCCTTCCATCAGGAGGTGTGTGTGTGTTTGTATGCCATTGATAGTCGGCCATTTTGTCTATGTGCACTGTACAATGACACTGTTTATATTGTGACTGGGCGTGTGTGTGTGTGTGTGTGTGTGTGTATCTTATTTCTGATTGAGAGTTTTCTTTCTGTAACAATTTATGGTGTATAATGTGTATGTTATTTAACACTCAAAGTTCAAACTAACTACATTCACACACAATGACTCATCCACTTACTGTATGTGTATCTACTAATAGGTCAAGTCCAAGTTTTTAAGGCCATATATGCATATACAGCACAACAGGTTTGTAGCAATCATTCTACCATTCCCTTTTATAGTATTTGTGATACATTTATATACTTACAATGTACATGTATTTGTAGTCATGCTCATGTGTACATGGATTAGATATTAATGTGTATCTTTTTATAGGCAGATGAGCTTACTTTTGCTGAAGGAGACACTATATATGTATCTGAGAAGGTTAGTAGGAATAAAGAAGACGTATACATGTATTAGAATAATGCTGTAATAGATAGATATGCATGTAGTATGGGCATGGTACATGTATAGTATATACATGTAATAATATCTGATAGAATATTATACTGCTGTGATCTATACAGCGTGCTAAGTGGGGCTCTCTTTAAGAAGGGACAGTATCAGTAGATATGAGTTGCTTAGAGACTAAGGAGGAATATAATGGAGCCCATAGGATCAGTACTGTTTCCATGGCTTTAAATGGTTTATCTAATTGTCCATTATACTTAATAAGTAACACATACGAGTATTCCCTTACTATAGTAGTAGTAGTAGTTGTTGCTTAGGGAATCTTAGAAGATATACAATCATCAGATAACTAAGACTTCAATTTGATTTCTTACCACAGATACATGTACAGTAAAATCATTAAAATAAAATCTTCTATATAAGCTTCTACTATACATGTGATGTACATTTGATGTACATTTGTAGTAATTTTGGTTAACTGATAGATTAGATTGCTAACTGCTTGTTGTGGTGTATATGTATTTAGCTTTCTGTTGATGTTTTGGTTTTCCCTTATTAATACATTGTTATTGATCCTCTTCTACTGATTATTATTAGTCATGTACATGTGACATTTGATATATTCATACCTGTATATTGTGTGTGCTTTCTCTTTAATAGAGAGATGACGGATGGTGGAAAGCTACCTGTAACAAAAAGACAGGCCTTGTGCCTTCAAACTACAGTAAGGAAGAGAGAGAGAGAGAGAGAGAGAGAGAGAGAGAGAGAGAGAGAGAGAGAGAGAAAGAGGGTAGAGAGAGGCACTCCTACATACTTGTAAGATCATTATACATGTACATGTACATGTACATCTACATGTACTGTAGCTTAGAATAGATAAACGCACATGCACATGTACATAAATGTGTTTACATTATGCTTATACTGTACACATGCAGTGCATTTACACGTACATGTCAATGTTTACTTTGTTGTATTAGTAGAATAAGATTCAGTGACAAACATGAGTGCATGATCATTATAGTTGTTATTATTATTAATTATTTTTATTTATTTTATAGTTGAGAGTGGAGCTGAAAGTATTGAGAACCCTTTGCATGAGTCAGCAAAAAGAGGTAAGACATGAAAAAAAGAGGGAGAGAGGGGGGGGGAGAGGGGGGGAAGGTGTGAAGGAGAGTGTATGTACATATAAAAGAAGGAATGAAAGTGATTCATTTTTTGTTATCTTTTGGTTATTGATAACACTCGTTGACATTTGTAGGAAATTTACCGTTCTTAGAAGAGTGTTTAGCAAACAGAGTGTCAGTTAATGGGCTGGATAAGTCAGGATCTACTGCCCTACACTGGGCTGCTAGCGGCGGCCATATTGGTATGCCCTCTCTCCCTTCTCTCTTTCCTAAAATGTCACTTCCTTTTCTTTTATCTTTTTCTCTTTTCTTTTTTTTTCTAGAATGTGTTGAGCGATTGTTGTCTATTCCTAATGTTGAAATCAATGTACAGGTAAGTACATAATAATGATAGCCAATTACTGTATGGGAGTTTTATTTCGTGGAAAATTACACTTGTGATTGGAAAATATTTGCATTAAGTTTATACATGCATTATACAAGTTTATACATGTACATGCATTAAGTTGTACATGTAGTCATGTACGCATACACAAGTACATGTATTTGCAAAAATAGTTTAAATTCACAAATTTTATACTATGAGCTACACTACACTACAGTATATACATGTATATGTACATGTATTATAAATGGAATAAAATGATAATGTGTGCTCTTTCCCACTACAGAACAAGTTAGGTGACACTCCGTTACATAATTCAGCATGGAAGGGACATCACGTCATAGTAGAGATGCTGCTTGATAAAGGAGCAAATAAAATGATACGTAACAATGAGAACCAGCTCCCGTATGACTTGGGATCAAAGCATCCTGAAGTTGGACGTCTTTTAAAGACTGTGTCTGGTTAGTTCTTAAAATATTACTTTTATGCATCAGAGAATGTGTTGTAACAAGAGCATTAGTGAAAAATATTGCTAAAATTGTTTTATCACCTTACATGCATAGATGACATCTATTTCTTCTTACTAAGACATAAATGTTCTCTTTACCTTCTTACTGTATGTAATTTTAGAAAATACCTCATTGACTTGCATATTGTCATTTAATGCATTGCTGTGTACATGTATTTAGGTAAATCTTGTAGTAGTACATGTATGTATGTACATGTGATACATGTAATTGTTGATTTATGCAACTGTTAGTTGTATCAGATTTACATATAATTCACATGTGCATTAGTTATTTTGATTCTATTATTTTTTTTTTGTTTTTATAGGAACCAATGGGGATGAGTATGGTGACGAAAACGATTCCGATTAATTTTTTGACTTTTATTTTTATTATTTAGTATCTTTTGTGTTTGTAGTTCATTATCATTATCGTGTATTATTATTATTATCCTTAGTGTTTATTGCAGATTAATATCTTATTATAACTATTATTTTGCTTGATTATTTTAGCACTAGAATGTAGCATGATCATAATAGGGCCCATTATTAATTTTTCAAGTGTGCTAGGTTATATTGAACCTATTGAACAGTGAAAAGTTTTTATTCCCACCATACAAGTATGAACATACATTGTCTTGGACATGTTGCACAAAAATTGTGTTGAATCTACTCAGATTTAGTAAATTCAGAAGCCAGTTCTTGCAATGATACAATTTTGCTCCAATATCTGGTATAATAATAACTTTAATTTAAGAATAATGATCTCTGTTGCATAAAACTATGTTTGCAAGTAAATCTAGTGTTGACTAAGGTAATTTTACAGTTGTTTTTATGAATAATTCAGTGGGAGTGCCTGATAGAATCAACCTGAACAGACAAAGTTAAAGATGAATATGATACTTGCTCATTTGGTGGTAACCTTCTTGTCTGTAGGTGAGAACTAAATCTTTCATTGCAATATTTTTTCATCATTATTATAGGTTTCACTGTGGCTCAATGTGCTCCTGATGTCATCTCTGTTTTTATTTTAAATGATAGAACCATCCATGTACCATTGACAGAGCCATTATGTCTTCAATGCAGGTTCTTTACTAATCAAGGCAACTATTTTACCTTTTCTGATGGTGTATGGAGGAAGGGCAGTACTGTACTGAATGATGGGGACTTTAATGGAAATGTTAATTTATCAAGTACTTCTGATACTATCTTCCTGAGCCTGGAGTATCCTGATGATGTTGTTAATGTTGGTGATACTATAACATGCTCATCATCAACTGCTGGTCAACAAAGCATCATCACTTTTGGAGATTTTGGTGAGTTAAGCATTTGTAATATTATGCTTTAATTATAAATTATAGTATTTTTAGACCCAGTTGTATCACCTGATAGCATAGTTAATATCACTGAAGGATCTAATTTAACATTAACATGTTCTAATCCTGGTAATACTGGTATGCCACGTTATGTATGGATTAATGATAGTGATGTTAGTGAGCTAACACCTGTCATTAATAATCCTCCTTTAAACTTAAATATAATAAATATTGACAGAGCAGCTAGTGGTAATTACACTTGTAGAATAACACACATTGATTCACCAGGTATTAACAGAGAAACTACAGTCACTGTTAATGTACAACCATTAAGTGAGCTATCATATCTAAATATTTGACTTGTTATTGTTTATCTTTGCCAGACCTTCCAGCAGTTTCTATTTATATTTATCAAACAACAGGACCTGTTATTATCAATTGTACATATGAAACTTATGATAATTCCATTGATGTGAAGTGGGAACATAATGACTCATTACTTGATCCTAATAGTGATCCTTATATCACAGTTATCACACAATCCTCTAACTCTGAGCTCACTATCTCTTCCCTCACCCAACAGTATGTAGGAGCATACCAGTGTTTAGTCACTAATAGAGCTGGATCTGTTAAGAGTGGAAAAGTAAATGTCACAATTGATCAAGGTCTGTCATTCTAATTAAGTCTATAAATTGGGTTTATCTCAATAATTTATAGCACTTTTATCAAGTAGCAGCAGCAGTATATCAATACCAACTACCAGTAGATCAAGTAGCAGCAGCATTATATTAATACCAAATACTAGTAGTAGCTCTAGCACTGCATATACTTCTATGCATAGAAGTCAGACCATTATAATAACAGCAAGTCAACCTGTAGCTTCTAGTTTATCTTGTAAGCATAATGATATCATAAGTATTCTACTTATTATACAATGTTATAGGTGAATGCAGTAGTAATGTTGTTGTAGCAGTCTCATCAGTGATTGTGAGTTCCATTATCTCATCTATAGTAACAGCATTAGTTGCTTTCATCATCAGTTGCTATTTTTATAAGAAATCCATCAATAAAAGTTAGTTTAACCATAGACACTGCATAGTATATTGAATTGTTTGTGTGTACTTTATAGGTAGATCAATTGATAGACTGAAAGATATCCCAGTTGATGTTAATTTAGCTTACTCATCACGGACACCAGAATATGAACAAATTTCTGGTCTACCAACAACAGAGAAACAATATGAAAACATTGATGCACTCCACTGATGACTTTGCAAAGAGCATGCACCACATTTAATATCTTCCTTTTTTGCTTATTATCAGCTAGAATCATGCCCAATTTTTGCCATTTAGTAGAAATGTAATTATGCATTTTTTTGTATTCAAATGTTGAGTTGCACCAATAATTACAAAAATAAGAAAAAAAATTTTTTTTATCAATAAATTTTTTTTTAATTTAAAAAATAAAAATAATAAAGAAGTAAAATAAAATTTTTTAAAAATAATTATGAAAAAAATTAGTAAAAAGGTATGACTATTTTTTGTAAAACATTGCATGAAACATTGTGTTGAATCTTTTTATGTGTTTAGTTTTTACAATGGCAAAATTGTAATAGCAAATTTTTGCTTGAATATTTGGTATATGATGTAATTTTAATGTTGCATAGATGCAGTTGTTATTTATGAGTAATTCAGTGGGAGTGTCTTAGAATCAACCTGAGCAGACAAAGGTAAAGATGAATATGATTCTTGCTCATTTGGTTGTAACCTTTTTGTCTGTAGGTGAGAACTAAATCTTTCATTGCAAATTATTTTCATCATTAATAGATTTCACTGTGGCTCAATGTCCTCCTGATGTCATCTCTGTTTTTATTTTAAATGATAGAACCCTCCATGTTCCATTGACAGAGCCATTATGCCTTCAATGCAGATTCTTTACTAATCAAGGCAACTTTTTTACCTTTTCTGATGGTGTATGGAGGAAGGGCAGTACTGTACTGAATGATGGAGACTTTAATGGAAATGTTAGTCTATCAAGTACTTCTGATACTATGCGTATAACCCTGGAGTATCCTGATGATCTTGTGAATGTTGGTGATACTATAACTTGCTCATCATCAACTGCTGGTCAACAATCTGTCATTACTTTTGGAGATTTTGGTAAGTTGAACATTTTGTCATTAAGTTTTAATTGTATCAGTCTTATATAGTCTTTTTGAATCCAATAATATCTCCTGATGGCATAGTCAATGTCACTAAAGGATCTAATTTAACATTAACATGTTCTGATCCTGGTAATACTGGTATGCCACGTTATGTATGGATTAATGATAGTGATGGTAGTGAGCTAACACCTGTCATTAATAATCCTCCTTTAAACTTGAATATAATAGATATTGACAGAGCAGCTAGTGGTAATTACACTTGTAGAATAACGCACAATGACTTACCAGGTATTAACAGAGAAACTACAGTCACTATTAATGTTCACCCACTAAGTGAGTTATTGTATCTAAATATTTAACTTGTTATTGTTTATCCTTGTCAGGCCTTCCAGCAGTTTATATTTATATTTATAAAACAACAGGATATGTTATTATCAATTGTACATATGAAACTTATGATAATTCCATTGATGTGAAGTGGGAGCATAATGACTCACTACTTGATCCTAATAGTGATCCTTATATCACAGTTATCACACAATCCTCTTACTCTGAGCTCAGAATCTTTTCCCTCACCCAACAGTATGTAGGAGCATACCAGTGTATAGTCACTAATGGAGCTGGGTCTGTTAAGAGTGGAAAAGTAAATGCTACAATTAATCAAGGTGTGCCACTTTGTTTAAGAATTCAATTTATCTCAAAAATTTATAGTACTTTCATCAAGTGGTAGCAGTAGTAAAACTACTACTATACCAAGTACCAGTAGTAGCTCTAGTACTACAATTTCTACAATTCTGATTCAAATAACAGCAAGGCCAAGTGTAACTCCTAATTTTTCTTGTAAGCATAATAATATCATAAATAATTCTACTCATCATACCATGTAATAGGTGAATGCAGTAGTAATGTGGTTGCAGTTGTCTCATCAGTGATTATGAGTTCCATTATCTCATCTATAGTAACAGCATTAGTTGCTTTGATCATCAGTTGCTATCTTCATAAGAAATCCATCAATAAAAGTTAGTTTAACCATAGACACTGCATAATGTATTGAATTGTTTGTGTGTACTTTATAGGTAGATCAATTGATGGACTGAAAGATATCCCAGTTGATGTTAATTTAGCTTACTCATCACGAACACCAGAATATGAACAAATTTCTGGTCCATCAACCACTGAAAAACAATATGAAAATATTGATACACTCCACTGATGACTTTGCAAACAACATGCACCACATTTAATACCTTCCTTTTTTGCTTATTATCAGCTAGAATCGTGCCAAATTTGTGCCATTTAGTAGAAATGTAATTATGTATTTTTGTGTATTCAAATGTTGAGTTGCACCAATCATTATTATAGCAAAAAAATTACTTTAAGTATTTACACTAATAACAATTTCAATCAAAATTATTCATTAGCAAGGATGAAGTCCTTTACCATTAATAATGAATAAAATAAATAAATTAATAAAAATTGAAAAAATTAAAATTAAAAAATAAGAAAAAAATAAAGCCATACAAATTAAAATTAAAAATTTCTAAAATTAAAAAAATAAAAATAATACAAGTAAAATTTAAAATTTAAAGAGTTAAAAAAATTAAAGTAAAAGGGTATGATTTTTTGTGAAACATTGCATGAAAGATTGTGTTTAATCTGTTTAGGTAATTAGTTCTTACAATGGCAAATTTCTATTTTAATATTTGGTATGATTATTATAACTTTAATATTGCATAGATGCTGAGTAGTTCAGTGGGAGTGTCTCTCCACATGGCTTACATGTGCGCATGCGCAATATACACACCATGTGAGTTCTCGTGTATCAAGTATTAACAATGGAACCTTGCTGTAAAAGACTTAAATTTGATCTTTCTCTCTTTGATGACAAGTCTGATGGTGATTTTGACTACTCAGAACCTCCTGTCAATCGATCCACTGCGAATCAGCTTCCTTTGATAGATGATTACGAAGATGAGGATTATACAAACCCGTTTGATTCCCTGCCAAATGAGGTAATACAAGATATATGCATGATGCTCTCGCTCAGAGATAAGATGTCTCTTAGATTAGTCAATAGAAGACTCTACACGATATGTTCTGATCCTTTTTTGTGGAGAAATGTTGTCATTCATCATGCGTATCATAAGACAAATGCTCCATTCATCAACTCGGCTTTAAAAACATGTCGCCCACATGTACAATCGCTCAGTTTAAGGGGAGAGCTACCGTTTAGTAAATATCAACGAATGATTCTTAGCTCTGATAACATTCATACTTTAAATCTTCATGGGTTTCAGATTTCTGCCAATGCTTTGAAGAAGATTTATTCAAATTTACATCATTTGCAGTTCTTAAGCCTCACTTTTTTTAACGAGTTTGCTTATTCTATTAAAAAATACTTCACAATTTTTGTCAAATTAAAAAAAGTTGTAGTGGTTTACGGTTATTCTAAACCAAAACAATTTTTTGAGCTATGGTTGTTAAACAACTGCTTGCCTCAAACATTTATTGTCGTTTCAACTTATGACAAGAAATATTGGTCCAGTAATATACACGATCTTCCTAATATCACACACTGGGCTTATTTTGGAGCTTATAAGAAATTTCGCCGACCTTTGGGCTTTGATTATTATGATGTACCCGAGTACTCGCTCGAATTTGGCCCCAATAGTTCTGAATCTGTTGCTGTGACCGCTAATGGGGAGCTAATAATTAAAATGAGAGATTTGATCACACCAGCAAATAATGGTGATGTTAATCAACAATATGCTGTTTTTGAAGATGAAGCTGTCACTCCTGGTCTGTCCGTTTATAACAGTCAATATGGAGTTAACATTACCGTACTTGGATTTTCTTCTGTAACCGTATCTGTTGAGTCCTTTCGTATGATTGTCAAGGAGACACCTAACGTATTGGAGGTCAGTTTGAAGGAAAGTATTATATCAGATTGTCTTAGCACTTACATGGTCACATTATCTGTACACTGCCTCAAGCTAAGAGGATTAGATGTGTCTCGTTTCTCTACTAGCAGAGATAGTATCCACTTTGATGTGGAACGCTTTTGGAATCTTTTGTCGAAAATGAAATATTTGGAATATTTGTCAGTCAACTGTTGCTCTCTCTCACCACTTGACTCCAACTCACAGCATGATGGATGCTCAGCAAGAGTCCTAACTGATAGAGAATTGGCAATAAAGGAAAGTGTTATCGGTCATATCAAGAGAATGACCAGACTCAAGGGTCTTCACATCTTTGAAACTATTACAACTGAAGAATTAGACTATTTTATTAGTCAACATTTACTTTTGATGATATCAAATCTGGAGTCCCTTTTATATCTGGGAGTCAAGATTTTATATGCTGCAGATATTGCTTCCACGGAATCGTACAATATTGAAGGGCTTGAAAGCGTTCTTCAGAAATGCCAGAAACTTTCGGTTCTTATCATTAGGTGTTCACCATTCAAAGCTATTGAACTACCAGTAGATCCAGTACCATATGGTAACCTCACTCATCTCTGGATTGATTGCAAACGTAATCCAATAAATTTGGCATTTGGTGACGCTCTGTGTATTAATAGTAAGAAAAAAATGAAACATTTACTCTTGAGACATCATGATGTCAGCATTGCAGGAGATTTTCTGGATAAAATAATAAAGGACTCTGATTTTATTACCCTTTACGAAGCTACACGAAGATTTTTTAAGCGATATGACCGAAATAGAAGTAAGAATTGGGGTGAGCTGTCACTGCTAGACTTTTATATAGCAGAATTTCCAACTTTACATTAATTATACAAGGTTGTGTTTGTATTAAGAATTGTTGTTTTTTAGGTTTATTCTATTATAGATGTTGTTTTCTTTTTGTTTTAATATTATTGTTATCATTTATAGTTGTTTTTTTTGTTTTAACATTATTGTTATTATTGAAATAACATGAAAAGAGAAGGAAGAGAGAGAAAGAGGGTAGAGAGAGATACTCCTACACAAGATCATTATATGTGACCATAATTGACAAAAGGGCCCTTATGGCGGATTTTAAAATTGATTGTTATAATGGATAATATCAACCTGTGAGTGCTTTGTTAGACAATCATTGTTTCTAAAAGTTTCATGGTAACTTTTTGCATCCTGTGGAGTAATTTTATGATAAATGGGGCTCAGGAAGTTGGATTTCTTAGGCTAGAAAGACAAATTTCACTACCCGCCATAAGGTACCTTTTGTCAATTATGGTCACATATATACATGTATATGTACATGACATGTACATGTACATGTAGCTTAGAGTAGATAAATGTATGTGAACATAAACAATCATGTTTGTATTATACTTATGCTGTACATGTACACATACATTTGTAAATGTTTACTTTGTTGTATTAGTTCAGTAACAAACATGAGTAATAATTATACTGTAGTTGTTGTTGTTGTTATTAAATTTATTTATTTTTTGAAAGTATTGAGAATCCTTTGCATGAGTCAGCAAAAAGAGGTAAGACATGAAAAAAAGAGGGAGAGAGAGGGGGGGGAAGGTGTGAAGGAGAGTGTATGTACATGTAAAAGAAGGAATGAAAGTGATTCATTCTTTGTTATCTTTTGGTTATTGATAACACTCATTGACTATTTTGTAGGAAATTTACCATTCTTAGAAGAGTGTTTAGCAAACAGAGTGTCAGTTAATGGTCTGGATAAGTCAGGATCTACTGCCTTACACTGGGCTGCTAGCGGTGGCCATATTGGTATGCCTCTCTCTCTCTCTCTTTTTTTCTTTGTTCCTCCTCTCTTTCCTAACGCAAAATCCCTCACTTCCTTTTTATCTTTTTTTCTTTTCTTTTTCCAGCAGAATGTGTTGAGCGATTGTTGTCTATTCCTAATGTTGAAATCAATGTACAGGTAAGTATATAACCAATGACTGTATAGGAGTTGAATTTTTTGGGGAAATACTTAATTTTTTAAAACCCCATGAATGGAAAATACTTGCATAAGTTTATGTTTGCAAAGTTTAAATTTACAAAAATTTAACAGTGTACCTAGCTTGAAATAAAATGCCTTTGTACATGTACATGTATTATAAATGTAATAAAAATGATAATGTATGCTCTTTCCCACTACAGAACAAGTTAGGTGACACTCAGTTACATAATTCAGCATGGAAGGGACATCATGTCATAGTAGAGATGTTGTTTGATAAAGGAGCAAATAAAATGATACGTAACAGTGAGAACCAGCTCCTGTATGACTTAGGATCAAAGCATCCTGAAGTTGAACGTCTTTTAAAGACTGTGTCTGGTTAGTTCTTAAGCTATTACTTTTATGCATCAGAGAATGTGTTGTAACAAGAGTATTAGTGTAAAAATATTCCTGAAATTGTTTTCACTATAGATAATCTATAGTAACAGCATTAGTTGTTTTGATCATCAGTTGCTATTTTCTAAGAAATCCATCAATAAAAGTTAGTTTAACCATAGACACTGCATAGTGTATTGAATTTTTTGTGTGTACTTTATAGGTAGATCAATTGATGGACTGAAAGATATCCCAGTTGATGTTAATTTTGCTTTTTCATCAATGAAAGTAAAATTAAATATTTTAAAAATAAATATGAAAAAAATTTTAATTAAAAGTAAAAAAGGTATAGATTGCTTTTTGTGAAACATTTCATAAAAGATTGTGTTGAATCTGTTTATGTGTTTATTTTTTACAATGGCAAATTATAATAGCAAATACTTATTTGAATGTTTGGTATGATGTAACTTTAATTGTTGCATAGATGCAATTGTTATTATAAGAGTAATTCAGTGGGAGTGTCTGATAGAATCAACCTGAGCAGACAAAGTTAAAGATGAATATGATTCTTGCTCATTTGGTGGTAACCTTTTTGTCTGTAGGTGAGAACTACATTTTCCAATGCAAATATTTTCATCATTAATAGGTTTCACTGTGGCTCAATGTCCTCCTGATTTCATCTCTGTCTTTATTTTAAATGATAGAACCATCCATGTTCCATTGACAGATCCATTATGCCTTCAATGCAGTTTCTTTACTAATCAAGGCAACTTATTTACCTTTTCTGATGGTGTATGGAGGAAGGGCAGTACAGTACTGAATGATGGAGACTTTAATGGAAATCTTAATCTATCAAATACTTCTGATACTATGTTCATGAGCCTGGAGTATCCTGATGATCTTGTTAATATTGGTGATACTATAACATGCTCATCATCAACTGCTGTTCAACAAAGCATCATCACTTTTGGAGATTTTGGTGAGCTAAGCATTTGTAATATATTATGTTTTAATTATAATCAATTATAGTATTTTTAGACCCAGTTGTATCTCCTAATGGCATAGTCAATGTCACTGAAGGATCTAATTTAACATTAACATGTTCTAATCCTGGTAATACTGGTATGCCACGTTATGTATGGATTAATGATAGTGATGGTAGTAAACTAACATCTGTCACTAATAATCCTCCTTTAAACTTAAATTTGATAAATATTGACAGAGCAGCTAGTGGTAATTACACTTGTAGAACAACACACATTGATTTACCAAGTATTAAAAGAGAAACTACAGTTACTGTTTATGTACAGCCATTAAGTGAGTTATTGTATCTAAATATTTGACTAGTTATTGTTTATCTTTTTTGACAGGCCTTCCAGCAGTTTATATTTATATTTATCAAACAACAGGATATGTTATTATCAATTGTACATATGAAACTTATGATGGCTCCATTGATGTGAAGTGGGAGCATAATGACTCATTACTTGATCCTAATAGTGATCCTTATATCACAGTTATCACACAATCCTTTTACTCCGAGCTCAGAATCTCTTCCCTCACCCAACAGTATGTAGGAGCATACCAGTGTATAGTCACTAATGGAGCCGGGTCTGTTAAGAGTAGGAAAGTAAATGTCACAATTAATCAAGGTGTGCCACTTTGTTTAAGAATTTAGTTTATCTCAAAAATTTATAGTACTTTCATCAAGTGGTAGCAGCAGTACAACTACTGCTACACCAAGTACCAGTAGTAGCTCAGTTTCTACAATTCTGATTCAAATAACAGCAACACCAACTGTAACTCCTAATTTATCTTGTAAGCATAATGATATCATAAGTATTCTACTTATCATACCATGTTATAGCTGAATGCAGTAGTAATGTTGTTGTAGCAGTCTCATCAGGGATTGTGAGTTCCATTATCTCATCTATAGTAACAGCACTGGCTACTTTGATCATTGGTTGCTATTTTCATAAGAAATCCATCAATAAAAGTTAGTTTAACTATAGACACTGCACAAAGTGTATTGAATTTTGTGTGTGTGTCTACTTTATAGGTAGATCAATTGATAGACTGAAAGATATCCCAATTGATGTTAATTTAGCTTACTCATCACGGACACCGGAATATGAACAGATTTCTGGTCTACCAACAACAGAGAAACAATATGAAAATATTGATGCACTCCACTGATGACTTTGCAAACAACATGCATCACATTTATAATAACTTCCTTTTTTGCTTATTATCAGCTAGAATCATGCCAAATTTTGCCATTTAGTAGAAATGTAATTATGTATTTTTTGTGTATTCAAATGTCGAGTTGCACCAATAATTATTATAGCAAAAGAAATTGAACACTATAACAGCAATTTTAATTAAAATTCATTTTAATAATAAATAAATAAAAGATTTAAAATTTTAAAAATTAAAAAAAAATTTTTAAGTAAAAAAGGTATAATTGTTTTTTGTGCAACATTGCATGAAAGATTGTGTTGAATCTGTTTAGGTAATTATTAGTTCTTACAATGGCAAATTTTTGTTTGAATATTTGGTATGGTATAGCTTTTAATTGTTGCATAGATGCAGTTGTTGTTTAATAGAGTGGGAGTGTCAGACTGATAGAATCAACCTGAGCAGACAAAGTTAAAGATGAATATGATTCTTGCCCATTTGGTGGTAACCTTCTTATCTGTAGGTGAGAACTATATTTTCCAATGCAAATTATTTTCTTCATCATTAATAGGTTTTACTGTGGCTCAATGTCCTCCTGATGTCATCTCTGTTTTTATTGTTAATGATAGAACCATCCATGTTCCATTGACAGATCCATTATGTCTTGCTTGCAGATTCTTTACTAATCAAGGCAACTTTTTGACCTTTTCTGATGGTGTATGGATGAAGGAGAGTGCAGTACTGAATGATGAAGACTTTAATGGAAATGTTAATCTATCAAGTACTTCTGATACTATGTTCATGAGCCTGGAGTATCCTGATGATGTTGTGAATGTTGGTGATACTATAACGTGCTCATCATCAACTGCTGGTCAACAAAACATCATTACTATTGGAGATTTTGGTGAGCTAAGCATATTTTGTCTATATGTATTATTATTATTCCAAAATAGTCTTTCTGGACCCAGTAGTATCTCCTGATGGCACTGTTAATATCACTGAAGGATCTAATTTAACATTAACATGTTCTGATCCTGGTAATACTGGTATGCCACGTTATGTATGGATTAATGATAGAAAGAGTGCATGTGCTCTTGATGATAGTGAGGGTATTGAGCTAACACCTATCATTAATAATCCTCCTTTAAACTTAACTTTAACAAATATTGACAGAGCAGCTAGTGGTAATTACACTTGTAGAACAACACACATTGATTTACCAGGTATTAAAAGAGAAACTACAGTTACTGTTTATGTACAGCCAATAAGTAAGTTATTATGTCCTAAATATTTTACTTTCAGTATTATTTCTGATAAAGGATACACAATAGTTCATACTACTGTTTATCAAAGCAATGACACTGTTTCCATTAATTGTTCATATGATGATGACTCTGTTGGTGTGAAATGGGTCCATAACAATGCACAAATTGACCTAAACAGTGACCCTCAAGTCACAATCAACACACAATCCACTTACTCTGAGCTCGCAATATCTCCTCTTGCACAAGAACATGCAGGACAATATCAATGCATTGTCTCTAATATGTTTGTATCTACAAGAAGTGAAAAGATTTTCATTGTCATCCAAGGTTTAATAATATTATATTTGTCAACTACTTGTTTACAGTTTATTATCTATTGTAGTGTTACCATGTGATCAGGCTACTGTAACAAGTACTATTAGTCATAGCTTTTGCAGCCATATTTGGCCATCACCAGTTGATCTTGTTGATGCAACTGTGACTCCTGTTTTTATCACTAATATTGCTAGTAACAGTAATGGTAAGTTGCATACTATAGATGACTTATAATTACATCCTACATTTTATATATAGGTGAGTGTAGCTATATTATTCCAATCGTGTCATGAGTAGTTGTGACTTTTATCATCACATTCATAATCACATTTTTAATTACGTTCAGTATCAGTTATTGCTGTCACAAGAAATCCAATAAGAGTCAGTGACACACGCATTAATTGATCATCACTATTTTAATGTAATAGATATACCAACCAATAAATTGAAGGATATTCCAATTGATTCTAATTTAGCTTATTCAACACATACACCAAGGTTGTGTCAGCCTACTTGATCGAGATACACAACAGCAGAAATACAATAGAAGCATTCGATGCATTTTATTGAAATGACATGCAATGACTTTAACTTATTTTGTATACTAGTTGACTGTTGCTGTAAAGTTGCAATGTAGCTGTAGAATTAAATCAATAAAAGTTGTTCTATTTGTTATTTTAGCTATCTAAATCTAGTTATTACAAATAATTAAAATAATATTCATAGCAAAAAAGGAAGCCCCATTTTTGTTGGCCAGCCCTTTTTCTATACAAATGATCCAGAACAAAAGAAACCATAAGTAAACCTCTCTTTGTGTTTTGTGTCTACATGCTCAAGTTCTCTGAATCTATTGGAAAGTCTAGGCTAGAGTACTATAGAGTAATGGCTAATACA